TCTATATTGATGTAAAATTAGACATTTAATATGCCCAAGAGTGATTATTATTACATATTAGAGAGATTGCTCAGGGGAGAATGTAAACAAACTGGGGGCTTGCGCCAAAATTTGAAAGAACTTCCTGTATAAAAGTTTTGGTCATAATTTGAGATCGCCATATTAGCGGAACGCCATAAAGGCGAAATGCCGAAAGCGGGCGCCTACTGTATATGTTAGTGTAAACTTGTTATCTGGCATTTGTATGCATTTATAAGTGGGAAAAAATGGCACTCTGCTTTCTGGCAGTAGCCTTGAACCTAACCTGCCAAAATAAATGGGGCCCTAATGAATACATAAGATATGCAATAACTTTAAAATACACAATAACTTTAAAATGCAATTATCAATTATGTCTGGAAATTTACAGCCCATAATTGATAGACATGGAACTCACGGAGGGTGTACAGTGGAACCTCCGTACTCGAACAGCTCCCTACTCGAACAAAGCTCAGTACTTGGCCAAAAAAACCATGACCTGACAGACCTTTGCTGTAAACTATTTCATGTTCTTTTGCATTTTCTGGGGCCAAACGAAGATTAGTGATGACAGCCAACCAAAAAAAAACGGGCTGGGAAAAAATCTGTTTGATACTCGAATGGATCGGCACTCAAACAGCCTTCCAGAATGAATTAATTTTCAAGTACCGAGGTTCCACTGTACATAGAGTAGTGGCAGACGCTGTAAAGCAAATCAGGGAGCTGTATAAACAAATTTTGGTTGTAATTTGAAGTGTCCATATTAGCAAAGTGTCATGAAGGGCATTTTCCCCTGGTAAAACTACTTATAATCTTCTTACATAACATGAAAGAAATTTAAATTATTGTATAACATACCTTCTTTTTCCTCATCTACAAAAATTGTGTGAATTTTTGGTTTATCCCCATATAAAGTACATGTAACGTGCTTCCAACTTTTCAATCTTCTTCTCAATAGTAAAGACGATGAGTGAATAATACTAAGTCCTAAATTACGTCACCCACACAAGCTCCTCATTTTCAACCTTTTCAAAATGTATGCTATCCTATGAAAGATGAAAAAAATTAATATATATGTAATCCCATATTTACAATAACAGTTACTTGGTTGGAAAGAAATAAAGTGTAAATAGGAGCAATATAATATTTTGTCTCCCACTTTTAAATCATATAAAGAAATCAATTACAATGAAGGGATAAAAGTGGTAACCCATTCTCTCTCTCATTTAGTAACTAAAAATCACACACATAAAAAATCCTGACCTATACATGTGTGGATTAAAAAACAAATAAAAAGTAATGATCTAGGTAGTAGGTTGGTAGACAGCAACCGCCCAGGGAGATACTACCGTCCTGCCAAGTGAGTGTAAAACGAAGCCCGTAATTGCTTTACAGGCTTTCACAGAATTCTTTTCCCCGTAAACCATGCATGTTGTAAGAAGCAACTAAAATGTCGGGAGCAAGGGGCTAGTAACCTATTTTCCTGTATATATTACTAAATGTAAAAGGAGAAACTCGTTTTTTTTTTCCCTTTTTGGTCACCCTGCCCCCGGTGGGATACGGCTGGTGTGTTAAGGAAAGAAAAAAGTAATGATCTAGGTAGTAGGTTGGTAGACAGCAACTGCCCAGGGAGGTACTACCATCCTGCCAAGTGAGTGTAAAACGGAAGCCTGTAACCATTTTACACGATGATAGGATTGCTGGTGTCTTTTTTTGTCTCATACACATGCAAGCTTTCAGGTAAATTCTTGTTACTTCTACTTACACTTAGGTCACACTACACATACATGTACAAGCATATAATAACACACCCCTCTGGGTTTTCTTCTATTTTCTTTCAGTTCTTCTTCTTGTTTATTTCCTCTTACCCCATGGGGAAGTGCAACAGAATTCTTCCTCCGTAAACCATGCGTGTTGTAAGAGGCGACTAAATGCCAGGGGCAAGGGGCTAGTAACCCCTTCTCCTTATATATTTCTAAATGTGAAAGGAGAAACTTTCGTTTTTCCTTTTGGCCCCCCCCGTCTCAGTGGGATACAGCCGGTGTGTTGAAAGAAAGAAGAAAAAGTGATGAATGTCTGCAAATGCTATTTATAACTGGAGACCCAGATGCCTTGACAATAAAAATACGTTGAAAAAGGGGGAAATCTGACTGGAAGTAATTGGAATTAAGCCAAGTTATCAAAAGAGTAATGGTAATACTTTAATATTGAATGAACAACAGTGCAAAAAAATAAATTCTGGAATGCATGGCAAAAAGATAACAGAGGACTTTTAAAGTACACCAAGAAATATTGCTGAGGCTACTACTATCTAGATTCTAGAATTAAGGGCTACCATATATGTATTATCTAGAAGTTGAGGCTAAGTAAATGCTCAGAGACTTCTGAGGCAAGACATAACAGTTTTTAAAGATACAAAAGGAAAATTGGGGTATTTGTCATAGATGGAATAAAAAAAAGCTTGCATTGCCTCGTGACAACAAAATATGAAGATATTAAGTTTTGTTCAGATTGTTTTAAGATTTTTTTTTTTTTTTATAAAAAAGTACTACATACCAGTGCAGATTGCTGAACTACCATAGATGTTAGTGAATAAAACAAGAAGAGGGTAGATTTTTTGCAGCGATTGATATGTTTGAGTGCAGACACACGGGAAGACTACAACAACACAAGCATGCCTACAGAATGGACAACAATGCATGTGCATAAAACTGCAACCGCTCCCACATTATGGTATGGGACAGAGCCAGGCAACTCTTCAAAACAAAGAGAGTCATCTTTATCAAACTAACACCATAACACAAAATTCTGGTATATTCACAATGATGACTCCTAACACACACATCTTAGAACAAGAAACTTAGAGTGGGACTACAGTAGACCTCTTAACCCTTAAACGGTCCAAACGTATATATAGGTTCACTTGCGTAGCGCCCCAAACGTATATATACGTTTTATTTTTCCTGCCTCCAAATTTGGCACGATTGGCCTGAGATGCCTGGTCATCATAGAATTGGTCTTGACACTCGGTGTGCGCAGTATTAAAAAAATCTGGGACCAGTTAGTACCTTGTGGGAGCGCCAGTTAAATTGAGCGCCAGCTAGTGCAGAGAGTGGGGCAAACACCAATGATTCACTGATGTAATGTCATATTAACACTCATCTTTTAACAGAAAAGTGATGTTAACCCCAAGTTTAGGGTCTGTCGATCTCTGTCTATCTGTCTCTATCTCTATCTGTCTACCTGTCTCTATCTGTATCTGTCTCTGTCTATCTCTGTCTCTGTCTATCTGTCTCTGTCTATCTGTCGCTGTCTCTATCTGTGTCTGTATCTGCATCTGTCTCTGGCTTTGTCTATCTGTCTCTATCTCTTTCAATCTGTCTATCTCTGTCTCACAGGTACACATAAATACAAGTATACATAGTATAAATTACCTAGGATAACCCAAAAATCCAGACAAAGTGCTATACTCTGCTTGAAGATGTGAGTAAAAGTGATGACACAGTCTTGTGGTTCTCTCTGAGACAGAGAGCTAGACAGTTAGACAGATAGACAGGGTGCTTGACAGACAGAAAAATAGACAGATAGAAATACATTAGTGTACCAGCAAAAACAAAGCCAGGGGGGAGGGGATCTAACTTTTTATAACCAACCATGCTAGACAACCATCCCCCCTCACTGCTAGACAACCCTCCCCCCCTCACTGCTAGAAACCCTCCCCCCTCCTTCACTGCTAGACAACCCTCCCCCCCTCACTGCTAGACAACCCTCCCCCCCTCACTGCTAGAAACCCTCCCCCCTCCTCACTGCTAGACAACCCTCCCCCCTCACTCTTCAAAGACCTAGACCTACACACTATACAAAACATTAACTCATACTATTGTGCAACCTACATCTACAGAATAAATTCTAATATAAATCCCGACCTGAAGCACTATTGACAGTCGCAACAGGACTCACAGACACAACACTAGCATAAAACCTCTATGACATTCCCTGCATAAGGCTAAATCTTTTTAAAAACTCATTATACATAAAAGGATCCAAAATCTGGATCTCTCTGCGAAATCTCCAGAACCACTGGTTCAGCATTTTTAAAACTATAGTTAGAAAACACCTCATCTCCTTAACCTATCCCAGCCCATCATAAATACATATGTAAAAACTGTACATGCATTTGCTCAATATCATGAACATAGGTAAAACTTTTTCATCAATATATACTTGCTCTCAATATCTGTATTCATCTCAAATATTAATCACTCCATTGTATCCACCTAAGGTTAATAATAAAAATGTATGTATTCTCTACAAGACTTATTAAAGTCATATAGCATGACTTAATAGAATACTCAAGTCTCTTGTATTCATTGTAACTCATCTAATGACCATATATACCATTACTGCCTTATTAATCTTAAGTTAATTTTAAGTTTGCCAGAAATGCTCTGCATATAAAGGGGTTTTTGGTATGTACACCCAACTATTACTCTACTTTGTACATACATGTATCATGTCAAAATAAAATATATTATTATTATTCTAGGTAGTAGGCTGGTAGACAGCAACCGCCCAGGGAGGTACTACCGTCCTGCCAAGCGAGTGTAAAATGAAAGCCTGTAATTGTTTTACATGATGGTAGGATGGCTGGTGTCCTTTTTTCTGTTTTGAAAAACATGCAAGAATTAGGTACGTCTTGCTACTTCTACTTACACTTAGGTCACACTACACATACATGTACAAGCATATATATACACCCCTCTGGGTTTTCTTCTATTTTCTTTCTAGTTCTTGTTCTTGTTTATTTCCTCTTATCTCCATGGGAAGGGGAAAACAGAATTCTTCCTCCTAAGCCATTCGTGTTGTAAGAGGCGACTAAAATGCCTGGAGCAAGGGGCTAGTAACCCCCTTCTCCTGTATAAATTACTAAATTTAAAGAAACTTTCGTTTTTCTTTTTGGGCCACCCTGCCTTGGTGGGATATGGTCAGTTTGTTGAAAAAAAAAATTATTATTATAAACTCCTCACACACACTATTGACAAACTAACATTAACCTCTGATGAGTTCTGAGTGTTTTTCTGCTGCCAGAGCCCAGCCAGGGGTCAGGCTCATCTGGTGTTTGCCTGCTACACCAGGATATTACTGCTGGTGGTCCACTGACCCACTCCATCACAGCCTGGTTGATCCAGCACCTGGTGAAGATACTTGTCCAGTTTCCTCTTGAAGGCTTCTACACTTGTTCCAGCATTATTTTTGGTTACATGTTGCAACAGTCTTGGTCCTCACATGTTGATACAACAACACACAATATTCAACAGTCTGGCAACACAACAAACCATATTTAGTATTTTTGACACTAATACTACTTTTTTCTTTAAACCACTTAATGTAATTTACATGAATTTAAATTTATAAACATAGGCACAAAAGATGGCCACAAATTATGTGATGCATTTTGACCAGCTAATTGTAAGCCATATTAATTAATATACATACTATTAAATAAGAATTCTTATGCAATTAACTAAAATAAGACACCTTGAAGAATTGAGACACTTATGCAACATAATAAGACACCTAATGACAAATAGTCTATCACAAAAGAGACATATTTCGAAGTACTAATTCAAAGATCCTCAGTTTTATACTGACTGATTTTAGAAATGTTGAAGACACAGTAAGTTACTTTAGATTACAATATAATTAAATAGGGCAATATATGTTACCAATTATGTATGGGTGTTGAAAGAAGAACAGGGACAACTGGATGAAAGCTGGTTTTGTTAGACATAACAGACTGCTGTCTCAATTATGCTAAGGAGATGGTGTTTTTTAACAGCTTTGAAATGGGTGGCAGACAGGGAACCTTTCAATGCTTCAGACAGAGTTCCAGATTTTAAAGGGCCCATTTATGATCATTGAATTTTCACACAGGTTGAGTTAGACATGGGGGGTGATGTCAGCTTTTTTGTGTCTTGTTGCTCCTATTAAAAGGAAAAAGTTCATAGAAAGGCTTATATTGAAAAATAATGTTCTATATACTGTAGGCACAGTAGCATGAGTGCATGTTTTATTTATTTAACAAGTTCAAGCTTGGGGGGAGTGTGTTGTCTGCCACTGGAATGGGTAATTGTTTGCACAGCAACTTTAAAGTTATTAACAATTTTAGGTCATAGATTCCTATATCCAACTCAATCCCTATGCTTCTACAATACTGTATAACACAAATATTGGGGTAGGGCTCTACCCCAATATTATCCAGATAACTGCAATCAAGTCGCTGTCCCAGATTTCCGCTTGGCCAACTTCGTGGGTATGACAAATTACCTGGGTGGGCTAAACTGGGACGACCTTACTATGTGTCAGGCAGGTAGAGTTGGTTGCCAATATGACATATTTCAGAGCATAGTGCTGGCTGGCCAGACGACTTTTGTCCTGAGTAGGGAAATTAGATCTAACAACAATGATCCCAAATGGATAAACAATAGATTAAAACATCTCACTGGTCAACAGAGAGGCATATATAGGCATATCAAAAGAGGGAAAGGGCAGTTAAGAAATCAATATATTCAATTAAAATGAGAAAAGCAAAAAGGGATTATGAGGTTAAAGTTGCAAGGGATTCTAAGACTAACCCAAAAGGGTTCTTTCAGGTATACAGAAGATAGATTAGGGACAAGATAGGCCCACTTAAAAGTAACTCAGGTCAGATCACTGACAGTGATAAGGAAATGTGTGAACTTTTCAATACCTACTTCCTCTCAGTTTTTACTCAAGAAGATACTAGCAAAATTATAGAAATAATAAATTATGTAGAAAAGGATAATAATAAACTATGCACAATTATGGTAACTAGTGACATGGTCCTCAGACAAATAGAGAAATTAATGCCTAAGAAATCCCCAAGCCCTTATGAACTGTTTGCAAGGGTTTTAAAGGAATGTAAAGAGGAACATAGCATACCTTTGGCTAATCTTTGCAATTAGTATACCTGGTAAAGTGTATGGTAGAGTTATTATTGAAAGAATTAAGAGTAAGACGGAAAATAGGATAGCAGATGAACAAGGAGGCTTTAGGAAAGGTAGGGGGTGTGTGGACCAGGTGTTTACAGTGAAACATATAAGTGAACAGTATTTAGATAAGGCTAAAGAGGTCTTTGTGGCATTTATGGATTTGGAAAAGGCGTATGACAGGGTGGATAGGGGGGCAATGTGGCAGATGTTGCAGGTGTATGGTGTAGAAGGTAGGTTACTGAAAGCAGTGAAGAGTTTTTACGAGGATAGTGAGGCTCAAGGTAGAGTACGTAGGAAAGAGGGAAATTATTTCCCAGTAAAAGTAGGCCTTAGACAAGGATGTGTGATGTCACCGTGGTTGTTTAATATACAGTGGACCCCCGGTTAACGATATTTTTTCACTCCAGAAGTATGTTCAGGTGCCAGTACTGACCGAATTTGTTCCCATAAGGAATATTGTGAAGTAGATTAGTCCATTTCAGACCCCCAAACATACACGTACAAACGCACTTACATAAATACATTTACATAATTGGTCGCATTCGGAGGTGAGCGTTATGAGGGGGTCCACTGTACTTATAGATGGGGTTGTAAGAGAAGTAAATGTGAGGGTCTTGGCAAGAGGCGTGGAGTTAAAAGATAAAGAATCAAACATAAAGTGGGAGTTGTCACAGTTGCTCTTTGCTGATGACACTGTGCTCTTGGGAGATTCTGTAGAGAAGTTGCAGAGATTGGTGGATGAATTTGGTAGGGTGTGCAAAAGAAGAAAATTAAAAGTGAATACAGGAAAGAGTAAGGTTATGAGGATAACAAAAAGATTAGGTTATGAAAGATTGGATATCAGAGTGGAGGGAGAGAGTATGGAGGAGGCGAATGTATTCAGATATTTGGGAGTGGACGTGTCAGCGGATGGGTCTACGAAAGATGAGGTGAATCATAGAATTGATGAGGGGAAAAGGGTGAGTGGTGCACTTAGGAGTCTGTGGAGACAAAGAACTTTGTCCTTGGAGGCAAAGAGGGGAATGTATGGAGTATAGTTTTACCAACGTTCTTATATGGGTGTGAAGCATGGGTCATGAATGTTGCAGCGAGAAGGCTGGAGGCAGTGGAGATGTCATGTCTGAGGGCAATGTGTAGTGTGAATATAATGCAGAGAATTCGTAGTTTGGAAGTTAGGAGGAGGTGAGGGATTACCAAACTGTTGTCCAGAGGGCTGAGGAAGGGTTGTTGAGGTGGTTCGGACATGTAGAGAGAATGGAGCGAACAGAGTGACTTCAAGAGTGTATCAGTCTGTAGTGGAAAGGAAGGCGAGGTAGGGGTCGGCCTAGGAAAGGTTGGAGAGAGGGGGTTAAAGGAGGTTTTGTGTGCGAGGGGCTTGGACTTCCACAGACTGCGTGAGCGTGTTTGTAGGAGTGAAATGGAGACAAATGTTTTTTATACTTGACGTGCTGTTGAGTGTGAGCAAAGTAACTTTATGAAGGGGTTCAAGGAACCGGCAGCCGGACTTGAGTCCTGGAGATGGAAGTACAGTGCCCGCACTCTGAAGGAGGGGGTGTTAATGTTGCATTTACAAACTGTAGTGTAAAGACCTTCTGGCAAGACAGTGTGGAGTGAATATGGTTGAAAGTTGTTTCTTTTTGGGCCATCCTGCCTTGGTGGGAATCGGGCCAGTGTGATAATAAAAAAAAAAAATCACTACAAACTAAGAACTAACTAGTTAGTTATTTACATATTTATGGACCTCAGCGATGATTATGTTATTATAATATTGCATCTTCAAGACTAATAAGACACTTTTAGTGATTTTAAAATGTTACCTGCATGCAGCACAGTGTGTAAGATTATTTAGGTACAAGTACACATAAGTATAATTATCAGTTATAATAATAATGTAGGTATGTAGTCCCTGGGCTACATACATACACCTAACCTACATAGTACACGATATTTAGTGTGGCCCAGAGCTATATTATTACCATCGACATTTCCATGGCAATGAGTTTAATTGTTTCTAACAACTAACCTTTAGATCCATCATAAAACAAACGGGAGTAATGAATAATTCATGCCAAGAATTGTAAACAAAGCATTAGTTACGGCGAGTGGGCAATTTTTCCTCGTCCGGTACCACATATTCGTGTATGAACCAAAATGTTTTTATGTTATTAATGTGTGTCCTTAATAATTCTCCAAGAAATTATAATACAGTGGATCCCTGTGTTAACGATATTATTTTCATCCATAAGTATGTTTCAGGTTTCCAAGTACTGGGAAAATTTTTTACCATAAGAATATTGGTGAAGTAATATTAGTCCATTTCAGACCCCCAAAACTTACAACGTACAGACGCACTTAATAAATCATTAATAATTTGTCAAAATTCGAGGTGCAATTCTATGCGGGGTCCACAGTAGATGGATTCAGAAAGATTTATATAACATAAATAAGGGCATTTAATGGCCCAAAAGTGTTATTATTAGTATACGTAATTTTTCCCTATCCGGCAACCACACTACATTTGCATCTAACCAATGTTTATATGTCTGTAAATGGTTTCATTAATAATTTGAGAAATATCTAGATGGATTAATGAGAAATTCCCTTATTGTGTAGTAATTAACTTTACATATTTCCAAGGCGAGTATTATTACATAGTTAAGAGATTCCAGGAGAATGTAAAAACAATTGGGTGGCTTTGCGCCTTATTTGGAATAGAACTTCCTGTATAGAACGTTTTGTATAATTTGAGTAAAAGCCATATAGCAGTCCAAAGGCTAAAAACCAAAAAAGCGAGTGCCTACTGTATATGTTAGTGTAAATTGTATATTAGATTTGCCCCTTATAAGTGGGAAAAAAATGGCACTTGCTTTTGGCACATGCCGAAGCTAACTGCCATATAAATGGGGCCCTAATGAATACATAAGATATGCAATAACTTTAAAATACACAATAACTTTAAAATGCAATTATCAATTATGTCTGGAAATTTTACAGACATAATTGATAGACATGGAACTCACGGAGGGTGTACAGTGGAACCTCCGTACTCGAACAGCTCCCTACTCGAACAAAGCTCAGTACTTGGCCAAAGAAACATGACCTGACAGACCTTTGCTGTAAACTATTTCATGTTTCTTTGCATTTTCTGGGGCCTACGAAGATTAGTGATGACAGCCAACCAAAAAGAAAACTGGCTGGGAAGAATCTGTTTGATACTCGAATGGATCGGCACTCAAACAGCCTTCCAGAATGAATTAAGTTCAAGTACCGAGGTTCCACTGTACATAGAGTAGTGTGCAGACGCTGTAATAGCAAATCAGGGAGCTGTATAAACAAATTTTTGGTTGTAATTTGAAGTGTCCATATTAGCAAAGTGTCATGAAGTGGCACTTTCCCTGGTAAAACTACTTATAATCTTCTTACATAACATGAAAAGAAATTTTAAATTATTGTATAACATACCTTCTTTTTCCTCATCTACAAAAATTGTGTGTATTTTTTGGTTTATCATCTTCCATATAAAGTACATGTAACTGTGCTTTCAACTTTTCAATCTTCTTCTCAATAGTCAGACGATGAGTGATATATACTAAGTCCTGCATTACGTCACCCACAGCAAGCTCCTCATTTTCAACCTTTTCAAAATGTATGCTATCCTATGAAAGATGAAAAAGAATTAATATATATGTAATCCCATATTTACAATAACAGTTACTTGGTTGGAAAGAAATAAAGTGTAAATAGGAGCAATATAATATTTTGTCTCCCACTTTTTAAATCATATAAAGAAATCAATTACAATGAATGGAGTAAAAGTGGGTAACCCATTCTCTCTCTCATTTAGTAACTAAAAATCACACACATAAAAAATCCTGACCTATACATGTGTGGATTTAATACAAATAAAAAGTAATGATCTAGGTAGTAGGTTGGTAGACAGCAACCGCCCAGGGAGATACTACCGTCCTGCCAAGTGAGTGTAAAACGGAAGCCTGTAATTGCTTTACAGGCTTTCACAGAATTCTTCCTCCGTAAACCATGCATGTTGTAAGAGGCAACTAAAATGTCGGGAGCAAGGGGCTAGTAACCTATTCTCCTGTATATATTACTAAATGTAAAAGGAGAAACTCGTTTTTCCTTTTGGGTCACCCTGCCTCGGTGGGATACGGCTGGTGTGTTGAAGGAAAGAAAAAAGTAATGATCTAGGTAGTAGGTTGGTAGACAGCAACTGCCCAGGGAGGTACTACCATCCTGCCAAGTGAGTGTAAAACGGAAGCCTGTAACCATTTTACACGATGATAGGATTGCTGGTGTCTTTTTTTTCTGTCTCATACACATGCAAGCTTTCAGGTACGTCTTGTTACTTCTACTTACACTTAGGTCACACTACACATACATGTACAAGCATATATATACACACCCCTCTGGGTTTCTTCTATTTTCTTTCTAGTTCTTCTTCTTGTTTATTTCCTCTTACCTCCATGGGGAAGTGCAACAGAATTCTTCCTCCGTAAGCCATGCGTGTTGTAAGAGGCGACTAAAATGCCAGGAGCAAGGGGCTAGTAACCCCTTCTCCTGTATATATTACTAAATGTGAAAGGAGAAACTTTCGTTTTTCCTTTTGGGCCACCCCGTCTCAGTGGGATACAGCCGGTGTGTTGAAAGAAAGAAGAAAAAGTGATGAATGTCTGCAAATGCTATTTATAACTGGAGACTAGATGCCTTGACAATAAAAATACGTTGAAAATTGTGAGGAAATCTGACTGGGAAGTAATTGGAATTAAGCCAAGTTTATCAAAGAGTAATGGTAATACTTTAATATTGAATGAACAACAGTGCAAAAAAATAAATTCTGGAATGCATGGCAAAAATAGATAACAGAGGACTTTTAAAGTACACCAAGACTATTTGCTGAGGGCTACTACTATCTAGATTCTAGATTAAGGACTACCATATATGTATTATCTAGAAGTTGAGGCTATGTAAATGCTCAGAGACTTCTGAGGCAAGACATAACAGTTTTTAAAAGATACAAAAGGAAAATTGGGATATTTGTCATAGATGGAATAATAAAAAAGCTTGCATTGCCTCGTGACAACAAAATTTATGAAAAATTTTAAATTTTTTGTTCAGATTGTTTTAAGATTTTTTTTTTTTTTTTTTTAAAAAAGTACTACCTACCAGGCAGATTGCTGAATTTTACCTTTGATGTTAGTGAATAAAACAAAAAAGGGGGTTTTAAAGTTTTTTTTGGCAGCGATTGTTTTTGTTTGAGTGCGGGACCACGGGAAGGGACTACAAAAACACAGCATCCCTTACAGAAATGGAAAACAATGCATGGGTTTTTAAAATTTAAAACCGCCCCCAAAATTTGGTATGGGACAGCCAGGCAACTCTTCAAAACAAAGAGAGTCATCTTTATCAAACAAACACCAAAACCCCAAAAATTTTTTGGGTATATTAAACAATGATGACTCCTAACCCCAAAATCTTAGAACAAAAAATTTTAGAGGGGGACTACGTAGACCTTTTAAACCCCTTTAAAGGGCCCCAAACGTATATATGGGTTTTCATTGCGTAGCGCCCCAAGTATATTTTAGGGTTTTTTTTTTCCTGCCTCCTTTTTTTGGCCCGGGAACGGGCCCTTTGAGATGCCTGGTCTTTTTTTAAAATTTGGGTTTCTTGACCCTGGTTTGTGCGCGTATTAAAAAAATTGGGCCCAGTTATTTCCTTGTGGGAGCGCCAGTTAAATTGAGCGCCGCTAGTGCGGGAAGGGGGGAAAAAACCAATGATTCAGGGATGAAATGTATTTTAACACTTTTTTTTTAAAGGGGGGAAAAGGATTTTTTAACCCCCAAAGTTTAGGGTCTGTGGGATCTCTGTCTATCTGTCTCTATCTCTCTCTTTTCGGGTTCTACCGTTTTCTTTCTGTATCTGTCTCTTTTCTCTGTCTATCTGTCTCTGTCTATCTTTTCGCTGTCTCTATCTGTGTCTGTATCTGCACTGTCTTGGCTTTGTCTATCTGTCTCTATCTCTTTCAATCGGTCTATCTCGGGTCCCCCGGGGGGGTTACACAAAATACAAGTATACATATTTAAAAATTACCTAGGATAACCCAAAAACCCCAGACAAAGTGTATACCCCTGTTGGGAAGATTTTGAGTAAAAGTGATGACAAGTCTTGGGTTTCTCTGAGACAGAGAGCTAGACTTTTGGGGAAAGATAGAAAGGGTGCTTGACGGGGACAGAAAAAATTAGTGTACCAGCAAAAAAAAAAGGGCCGGGGGGGAGGGTCATCAAAATCTTTCTTATCAGATGTTATCTCCCTTATTTGTCACTGTCAAGGGTGAACATTTATTTTGTATTATGTATTATTATGTATTATTTTATGTATCATTATGTTTTATGTATTATTATGTATTATTATTATGTATTATTATTTGCATTATTTTTTTGTTATGAATTATTATGCATTATTATTTTATTATTATTAAGTTTTTATATTTTTTTTTTTATTTTTGGGGGTTAATTATATATTATTAGTTTATGTTTTTTTAGGGATTTTATTTTGTTTTTATGTATTATTAGTATTTGTTTTTTATGTTTTTATTATTATGTTTATGTATTATTTTTTATGAAAATATGTATTATTATGAAATTATTATTATCCCATTTTTGTATTATTATTTACCTGGAGTTTCCCTGGAGAGAGTTCGGGGGGAAACCCCCCCGCCCCCCGGTTTTGTGACCGGGCCCTCCTGGGGGAAATCAGAGCTAAAAAAACCCAAAGGCTTTTGCTGCTGGCGGGCAGAAAACCCAAAAGTAGGGGCCCACCCCGGCTGGTCAGGAACCGATTTAGGTGCTTGTCCATCCCAATTTAAAAAGCCTGCCGGGGGTCTTTTGGGTAATCCCCTTTTTGTGTGTGGGGGGCATTTTAAACAGTTTTTGGGGCCCCCTGACATTTTTGTTTTCTTTTAACTTTGATAGTGACCCCCCTGCTTTTCTTTTGGGGGGGATTGGGCATCTTTCTGCCAAGTTTTTGCTTTCTAGGGGGAGTGTTTTTTTCGTGGGCAATTTCCCGGTACTATACCCCCTCTGGGATTTTTCAGGTTTTTAAAATAATCTTTTTCTCTCCCCCCCTGATTCCAGGGAATCCCGGGTTTGGGAAACCCTCAAGCGCTCCAGAAATTGAGGGGGTTTTTTTCCCCTTTATGCAAAACCGTAAAGGGTTCTTGTACATTTTCTAGGTCGGGAAAAATTTTCACCTCCCTTTGAAAGGTGTGTTAGTGTGCAGCAATATTCCAGCCTAGATAGAAAAAGTGCCTGAAGAGTTTATCATGGGTTTGGGGCCTTTCCCTAGTTTTGAAGGTTTCTTTACCCAAACCTTCATTTTTCTAGCAATGTGATTGATACAATTTTTTAAGGCCCTTTGAAGGTGAGATCCCCCGACATGATCACCCCAGGTTTTTTTGCTTTGGGTTTTGTTTTGCTCTATTTTGTGGCCAAAATTTGTTTTGTACTCTGATGAAGTTTTTAATTTTCCTCGTTTTTACCATATCGGGATAATTGAAATTTCTCACGTTGAACTTCATATTTTTTTCTGCAGCCCCTGAAAAAATTTTGGTTTTATGTCCCCCTGGGGGCCTTCCCAGTGTTGAAAGGGAAAGGGACACTGTCATGCAGTTTTGGGGTTTTCTCTCCAAAGGAAGACACGGTGCTGTGGTTTGACTTCCTTGTTATGCGGATATGAGGATGAGGAACAAATGGGAGCGGGTATGTCCCTTGGGGAAACAGAGCTTTTCCCGTTTAAAAACTCCCCTTTTTGGGGGGGAAACTTTAAAACTTTGTTTGGAAAGATTTCCCCTCTGTGTTCTGTTATGAAAAAAATTTATAGCCCCATCAACCGACTTTTCCTGTTTTTCCCCTTTACCCGAAATTTTGTGCGCTTTTTAACCCCAATGGCCACACTTGCCCGAAGGCTTTTGCAAAGTTGATAAAATACATCTGCTTCTTTTGTTTTTCTAGTGCATTTAGGACCTTGTCGAGTGATCCAATAGTTGGGGGACAGACAGGAGCAAACCTGTTCAAACCCCCCTGTTCCCCCTGGGTTTTTGTAGCTTTTGGGGTTTCTAGATGGGTGGTGATTTTGCTTTTGGGGCCCTTTCAAAGATTTTTATGTATGGGATGTTAGTGCTATTGGTTTTTTTTTTTTTTTTTCCCCCCCCGGGGGGGGCTTTCGGGTTTTTTTTTTTTTTTTAAAGGGGGCCCCCCCCCAAAAAAAAGGGGGGGGCCCGGGGGGCCCCCGGGGGAAAGGGGCCCGGGGGGCCCCCGGGGGTTTTTTTTCCCCGGGGGAAGGGCCCCAAAGGGGGAAAAAAATTTTTTTTTTCAATTTTTTCCTTTTTAAAAATTTTTTTTTTTTTTAAAAAAAAATTAAAAAAATTTTTTTTAAAAAACTTCCCTTTTTTGGGCCCCTTTTTTGGGGGAATTTCCCTTTTTTTTGTTTGGTTGGTTTGGAAAAAAAAATTTTTTTTTTTTTCTTTTTTTTTTTTTTTCCCCCCCAAAAATTTTTTTAAAAAAACCTTTTTTTTTTTTTTTCCCCCCATTTTTTAAACCCTTTTTTTCCTTTTTTCCCTTTTTGTTTTTTGGGGCCCCCTTTTTTTTTTTCTTTTTTTTTTTTTTGGGGGGTAACCGGGGCCCCAAAAAAAAACCCCAAAAAATTTTTTTGGGGGGGGGGGGTTTTTTTTTTTTTTTTAAATTTTTTTTTTTGGTTAAATTTTTTTTTTTAAATTTTTTTTGGGTTTTTTTTTGGGGAAAATTTTTTTTGGGGGGGGAAATTTTTGGGGGGGCCCCTTTTTTTTTAAAAAAATTTTTTTTGGGGTTTTTTTTTTTTTTTTAAAAAAATTTTCCCCCCCCCCCCCCCCCCCTTTTTTTTTTTTTTTTTAAAAAAAAATTTTTTTGGGGGTTTTTTTTTAAAAAATTTTTTTTAAAAATTTTTTTTTTTTTTTTAAAATTTAAAAAAGGGGGGGAAAAAAAAGGGGGGGTTTTAAAACCCCCCTTTTTTTTAACCCTTTTTGGGTTTTTTTTTTCCCCGGAGGGTTTTTTGGGGGGCCCCCCGGGGGGTTTTTTTTGGGGGAAAATTTTTCCCCTTTTTTTTGGGGGGGGGTTTTTAAAAAAAACCCCTTCCCCAAAAATTTTTTTTTTTTTTTCCCCCCCCAAAATTTTTTCCTTTTTTTCCCCTTTTTCCCTTTTGGGGGGGGGCCCCCCCCCCCCCCCCTTTTTTTTTTTTCAAGGGTTTTTTTTGGGGGTTTTTTTGGGGGGGAAATTTTTTGGGGGGGAAAGGGGGGTTTTTTTTGGGGGGGGGGTTTTTTTTTTTTTTTTTTTTGGTTTTTTGGGGGGGTTTAATTTTAAAAAGGTTTTTTTTTTTCTGGGGTTTTTTTTTTTTTTTTTTCCCCTTTTTTTTTTTCCCCTTTCCCTTTTTGGGGGTTTTTTTCCTTTTTTTTTTTTTTTTTTTTTTCCCCCCCCCCCCTTTAAAGGGGGTTAAAAAATTTTTTTGGGGGGTTGGTTTTTTCCCTTTTTTTTGGGGGGGGGGGGGGGGGTTTTTTTTTCCCCCCTTTTTTTCCAAAAAAAAAAAATTTTTAAAAAAAATTTTTTTCCTTTTTTTGGGTGGTTTTTTTGGGGGTTTTTGCCTTCCCCCCTTTTTTTTTTGGGGCCCCCCCCCCCTTATTTTTTTTTTTTTTTTTTTTTTGGGGTTTTTTTGGGGTTTTTTTTTCCCTTTTTTTTTTTTAAAACCCCTTTTCCCCCCCCCTTTTTTGGGTTTTTTTTTTCCCGGGGTTTTTTTTTTTTTAAAAAAATTTTTAGTTTTTTTTTTTTCCCCCCCAAAATTTTTTTTTCCGGTTTCCCCCCCATTTTTTAACCCCTTTAAACCCCCTTTTAAAAAAATTTTTTTTTTTCTGTTTCCAAAACCCAACCCCAATTCGGTTTGGGCCCCTTTAATTTGTTTTTTCCCCTTTTTCCGGGGAAAAAAAATTTTTTTTTTTTTAAATTTAATTTTCCAAAAAAAGGGGGGCCCCCCTTTTTTTTAAAAAATTTTTTTTTTTTTAAAATTTTTTTTGGGGGCCCCCCCAAAAAACCCCCCCTTTTTTTGTTTTTTTTTTTTTATTAACAACCCGGGAAAATTTTTTTTTTTAAATTCCTTTTTTGGGAATTTTTTTTTCCCCGAAAATTAAAAGGGGTTTTTTTTAATTTTTTTTTTTTTAAAATTTTTTAAACCCCCCCAAAAAGGGTATTTTTTTTCCTTTTTAAATTTTTTTGGGGGCCCCCAAATTTTAAATTTTTTTTAATTTTTTTTAAAAAAATTTTTTTTTTTTTTTTGGGAAAAAAAAAAACCCCCCCTTTTTTAAGGGGGGAAAAATTTAATTTAATTTGGGGCCTTTTTTAAAAAAAACCCCCCCCAAAAAAAAATTTTTAAAAACCCCCTTTTTTTTTTTTTTTTTTTTTTTTTTTGGGTTAAAAAAGGTTTTTTCCCTTTTTTGGGGGAAATTTTTGGGTCCCCCTTTTTTAAAAAATTTTTTCCCCTTTTTTTTTTTTTTTTTTTTTTCCCCCCCCGGGGGGTTTTTTTTTGGGGGAAAAGGTTTCCCCGACTACCGGGACAAAATCTCCAGTTCACCATTACTGTCTCCGGGACCACTTCACCCCCAATTTTACTGACTCCGGACATCCCCTCCATCTTACATTTTCGACACATGGCCAGTATCAAGGGCATACCATTCAGCCCAGACTTTTATGTTCCCATCTGTTGTAGAAAGCTTCCAGGTTTTCTATGAAAGCAGCTTTGATGTTGTCCTTTTTTAAATACCCTTGTGATTTTAGTCCACAGATTTATCTCATTTGGGCATACCCAAAAACACTTCCCTGTTTTAATACTGCTTGTAGCTATTTTCTTGGATATCTGCACAAGGGGCGTGACCCAATTTCCACAAAAATTACAATTTATCCATGTGGAACCCCGTTTGTTTGAGTGACCGCAGACTCCCACACAGCTTCATAATGATTTGAATGGTTGATTTACTGTAATTTACTAGCAACCTCTTGAATTTTTCTATTAATAACCTCCTTAAATGAAGCTCTAGCTATTTGTTTTTCTTTTTCTAACTGTACTTTTATATTGGACAGCTTACCGTGCACGTTCCTGATTTATATTTATTGTTTGTATTTATTGGGCGCCTACAACCCCATCCGTTTACAGTCTGCTTTATTGCCCAAAACGAATCCGTTTGAAACCAGTCAAGGGTTCGGACCATCAAGGGTTCGGACCAGTCGATCTGATCTGATCAGTGGTCACTTATTTAAAACATTCTGGTCGGTGTTTTGGGGCTAACACATGAAGAATCTACGGGAAAAATTATCTACCGAGTAATATGTGATTTGATTGATACAAAAGTATAACTTGGTGTTGAAGAAACCGGTGATTTCTGGCAGCCCCTACAGTGACGACGGTCGTTCCTCAACCCTTTTTATCAATCGCTGTATCTAGCTTTTCTTTTTTTTTTTTTTTTTTTTTTTCGTCTCCACCACAATAAATGCTATATTATCACTATAGTTGACTGGTGGAAATTTTGGAGGAAGGACGCTTTTTCTGTAGTAATAATTGCTTCTCGTTGTGTATATTTACCCGGAGAGAGTTTCGGGGGTCAATGCCCCCGCGGCCCGGTCTGTGACCAGGCCTCCTGGTGGATCAGCGCCTGATCAACCAGGCTGTTGCTGCTGGCTGCACGCAAACCAGCGTAAGAGCCACAGCCCGGCTGATCAGGAACTGACTTTAGGTGCTTGTCCAGTGCCAGCTTGAAGACTGCCAGGGGTCTGTTGGTAATCCCCCTTATGTGTGCTGGGAGGCAGTTGAACAGTCTCGGGCCCCTGACACTTATTGTATGGTCTCTTAACGTGCTAGTGACACCCCTGCTTTTCATTGGGGGGATGGTGCATCGTCTTATGCATTATGTATTATGTATTATGTATTATTATTATGTATTATTATGTATTATTATTATTATGTATTATGTATTATTATTATGTATTATTATTATGTATTATTATGCATTGTGTATTATTATGTATTATGTATTATTATCTATTATGTATTATGTATTATTATTATGTATTATGTATTATTATTATGTATTATGTATTATTATTATGTATTATGTATTATTATCTATTATGTATTATGTATTATGTAGTATTATTATGTATTATGTAGTATTAAATTTTGTATTTATGTATTATTATTATGAAATTATGTTTTAAATTATGTATTATTGTTGTCTTCTGCTGCTGTGCTGTTTGCTGCTGCTGCGCTGTTTGTCCCTGCTGCTTGTGCGCTGTTTGCTCCCTTACTGGGATGATAAACCCTTTAAAAATGTTTTCATCAACAATATAACAACACACTTCTCATACCAACAATAAAAAACCAACCGGGCCTCACTGTTTAAAAGGGTTGAAACCCATAAAAACCACATATGGCCCAAATTTAAACTACCCCCCCAAAAATCGGGAAATAATCACAGATAGCACTACAGCCCACTACCCTCCCTTTCCCCCTGACAAACATATTTTAAAACCCCCACTTGAATACCCCCAAAGTCTCTTTTAGACCCAGGGCGAGGCCTCAGTAAAAAAGGGTTCCAGCTAAACCAAAGGGGCCTTTTATTGGCCTACAAAATTCCCCCAACCCAATGGTATTGATGACGGGAAACAGACTTTTTTCTTCACAAATTACTTAGCCCTTAAAAAACAAACATTGTCCTAAAAAAACCCCAAAACGTTTCACAAACAAACACTTGGTTGCCCATGGCAAACCCAGCCCCTTTCCCTAAAATACTTTGACAAAAAACCCCCAAAATTATAAAAAAGAAATTTTAGACAGGGCTTAATACAAAAAGGGTTTAATTTTAAACACTTTCATCAGTCTCACCAAAAAATTTAAGAAAGCCAAAAACTATACTACTCCGGGAGATTCACAGACATAGAGGAATATAAAAAAGCCCTTTGGAAAACCTCTCTCAATTCTGGGGACCCAAAAAATTTGAAAAAAACCCTAAAAATCCCCGTCCTAATAAACCTAATAAAACCCCCAAACTACATCCCCCTGACAAAAAGTTTAACAAGATAAACGACTTCTTCTCAACCATGGGAAATTAATCCCCACCAGTAAAACCCCACATACCAATCCCCTTTCCCGGGGGAAACTACCTAGAGGGGAAATTTTCCCCCTAATTCCTTCTATCTTGAAACCAACTGAGCCCACGGAAGCACTGGTTTAAATAAAGTAATTTTAAAAATAACTGGGGAAAAATCTGTCTCATGTCCCCCATTACTGTAAAACAAGGGGGGCCCGGGTCCTTTCGAATCCCTTTTTTCATTACTTTTTAACAATTTACAAAAGAGACTAGCACCTTCCCGAAACTACTCAAGTTTGGAAAAGGGTTTTTACACCAATACATAAAGGGGGGTTGACCCTACGGGATTTTAAACAACTATGGGCCCAAATTATTTTTAATTTTACCTTTGCTTTTTCCAAAAACCTTTGAGAAACTCGGCACAGGGGGAATTTATACTCATTTAAAAACGGCTAAAAAAACATACTCAAACCCCTCCCCTTTTTGGATTAAAGGGAAAAATAAAAGCATAATGTTTGAAATCAAAAAAAATCTAAAATCTTTTTTTAAACCACAGACGGGGAAAAAAAGGGGAATATCCCAAAGGAATTTTTTTTGACCAAAGGGAAAAGCTTTTGACACATTTAAACCACGTTTTTCCAAACCCCACAAACTTGATCTTTAAACGGTAAAAGGGGCCCATGCCCCTTGCTTTTTTAAAAATTTTACATTCCAAATAGGTTTTAAAAAAATGTCACCTTTAAAAGGGAACACAGCATCGAAAAAAGGGCCCCACTTAAATAGGGGATTTTCCGCGGGGGAAGGTCCTTGGTCCCCTGCTCTTCTCCCATATACTTTCAATGACCTTCCAAAGTACCCCAACCCCTTTAAAACCCTTTTCTCTTTGTGATAACCCAAACTTATTCATTTTCTCCCCCTAATCTTGCCACCCTAAACACCTTTGTGAATGAGGAGCTGTTTTAAAAATATCGACTTGGTTGACACCCAAAAAACCCTTACACTTAACACTGAAAAAACCCTACTATATTATTTTTGGTAGTTTGACGGAGTTGCACAAATTTAACTTTTAAAGTTTGACAACCCCTCAAATTTACCAGAAAAATGGGGGAAAATTTTCCTGGGGTTTTTACCCTGACAACAACCAAAAATTTCGGGCCCCCAATATCCAGCTTAAAACCCAAAAAAAAGTATCCAAAAGGGTTTGGGATCCTCCCCAAAGATACGATAAAAAGTCCCGCCAAAATGCCCTTCTCAAACTATACCACTCCCCTTATTTATCCATACCTCACCTAGCTATTTTTTGTTGGGGATCAACTGAAAGCAACTAAACCAAAAGGGCCAAATTTAAAAACCCCCAAAAAAAAAGCCCCCAGAAAGAATAATCCTAAATCCCTTTCCGGGCAACCCCCCCCCCCCACTCTTCATAACCTAAACTTACCCCCCCAGTTCAGTACACCCCACACTTACTACTGTCAATCTACATCTAAAAGGGCCCTTTAAAAACTCAAATACAACCTTGACCAAAAATGCTTTCGGATAGCTGGACAAAAACCCACGGAAAAAACATCAGACACAAACATCTCAAACGACTTTTCCCCGTGCCCGACAAAAACCTTTTAAAAAAATAAATGTTGTAAAAAGGCCCCAAAATCGGGAAATTCCCCTCCCTGAAAAAACTCTAAAAAATGCAGACAAATTCATCACCTTAAAAACAACCTTAAAAAACATCTTACCCTCCCTAAATACAACGCCACCCAACTAATTTAAAAACGAATCCCACCTGGTGGTTCACACTTACATAAATCACATTTTGCCCAAATAAACAGAAATATTAATCTCAATCTTAAAATAATAAATCCTGTGATACCCCAAATACTGAAACTATGACTGTCCCAAAAAACAAAAGCTTTCACTTTGCAAAAACCCACAAACTATTATTTATTTCCCATTTTTAACCCCCTTTAATTTACCAATTAAATCATTTTGTAAATTTTACAATTAAAAATAAACTAAGTCTCCCCCGAAATCCCTAGCCAGGGCAAAAGCGTTCTAGTGGAAACCACTCTTAATCAAAATTTTTTACTACATGAAAACCACACAAAAAACCCAAAATTTTTCGAAAAACTCAACATTGAAAATCCTTAAAAGAGAAAAAAATTTTGAATTTGAATTTGAATTTGAAAAAAAGGGGGCCTGGGGACGGGAAAGAAACAGACTAGAGAAAACGGCCTTGTATCATGCAAAAATGTCTCTTTTATTTTTTAAGTTCATTTTCTTAAGCAGTATCGGATTTTTTCCAATGGAGGGGAATTTTTTTTTGGTAACTTTTAAGGCTTTTTTTTTCCGTAATTTAGGGTTTTATTTTTTCCCCCATGTTTAGGTATTTTCAAAATGTTTAGTCATTTTTTCGTTTTTTTATGATAAGTTTCAGTTTTTTTTTTGTATTTTAGAAATTTTTTCCCTTTATTTTATTTTTTTCCATAATGTATGGGTCAATATATTAATGAAAAAAAAAAAACCAATTTGTTTTTAAAATCTTTAACGAAATGCGGTACCCCCGCATTTCTTTTTCCCTGATTCTGCTCGTAAAAGGTTGGTCCCTTTCTAACAGAATAAAAAACACCAGGTGCTCAGTACTGCTGAGCCCCTGGTTTTTTTAAGGATTGTTTGGTTTCCAGGCATCGTTACCATGCCTAACCCTTCTAGGGTTAGGGTAGGGGGCCTGAGCCTGGCCTTTAGCTCACAAGACTGCCCTTTCCCCCAATTTCCCCCCCTTGGGGCGGGGTGCGGGACCAGAGGGCCTAGCTTGTGGCTACCCTTGGGAAAAGTTGGTCCCAAAGATGAGGGGGAAATTGTCCCCTCCTCCCATGAGAGACTTAGGTCTCAGACACTCCCCAAAGGGGACCCAAGGGCCGGGCCCCATTTTGGAAAAGGCCGGGCGGGGAGAATACCGGCTAATTTTTAAAAATTTAATAATAATAATTAAAAATTTAATGGTCCAGTGGATAAATGATGTGTACTTTGTTCATTTTCTCAAGAAT